AATGTCACACGATAGAGTTACAATTTTAGAAGCTTCAATATTCAAAATAACAAAGCACAAATGCGCTAAAAACAAAACGGATTACTGTTAGGCGATACGAAGAAGTTTCGCTTGCATTTTTCTGTATCGATCTTCCGCGGTTTGTGGGTGTAACGCGAGTACAGACCGGAGCTAATGGGACGCTTTATAGTGGGTCTGACCTCGATAACGCGGTTGGCGGGATGTACCAAGAGAGCGTACGGTATCGGAAAAATCCGCGATCTGGCGCTTTTAGATTTAAAAAGCGCAAATAAAACCGCCGCGGGGAAAATCGCTGTCGGTAAACAAAAAAAACCACGATTAGCGCGCTGCGGTTTCGCCGGTGCGTAAAAATCGAAGAGAATTGTATCGTCAACGTGTATCATGAACCGACGTCAATTGTGTGAGCGCGTGTTGCGCTCCGCGAGCGTCGAGCGATACTCTTGTTGTAAATTTTCCCCGTGTTCGGTGGCTCGAGTTACCAAAGAAGCTACCACGGCCACGGTGGAAAAGTTCGAAATTGCTTCGGAGCGATTTCGGAGGATGGATTCGATATTGCGTCTACCCGGTTCAAACCGATATCACCGAACCAATATCGAAAATCCGGCTCTCTTTCTAATATCTTCCCCTTAGATTATAACGGTGCTGCGCCGACGCGGAAATATTCAGACAAAGCGTGTCAGAAGCGATGTCGTCTAAATATTTAATTTCGGCGATATCTCCGAAAACTCAATATATTTGTCGGAGACAAATTCATATGTGAAATGTTTTCTTAAGTTCTCAGTTGGGAAAGTCTTGAACATGATCGAATGTGAATTTCTCTTATTCACAATCCCTCATGTAATATATTAAGAAATTCATTGTCGAAGAACGACTGTAATTGCAAGAAAAATGCTTTTCATAGTTAAATGTGTATTCACAAACACGTTTTATTTTGTTAAAAATATGTGAGAAAATTCCGGATCTAGTAAAAAGAACAGCTTGAACAAATTATTGTACTGTCTCTCTCGACATATTTCTTTGTGTAATCTGAAATACATTTTTTTCTTGAGCATGACTTTGACGTTCCGATTAGGAGTTTTCTTCTTGCGAGTTTTCGTTTACGGTTAACACATACTGTGTTTCTTTGTCTCTCTCTTTCTCTTTTTCTCTCGCTTCCATTCTTTCATTCCTCCCGGTCGGATTCTCTTCTGGCATCCCGCGGCACTCAACAGGGACCGGTCGTTTATCTAAATAGCTACTGGGTGGCCCGGCCAACCGTGTCCCGTCCCAACAAACCAAAACTAACCCAATCACACGCCTCCCAGACTCCGACGCGACGAAGAAACGACCCCGACGAGAGTTGATATCCTAAGCCGGGGCGATTGTCGTGCCAGCAAAACTGCATCAGGACTTCTCGGTACTCCGGTTAGGCCTGCCTGTCGTCGCCTGCTCGGGTCGTCGTATCGCCATTGTCGTTATCATCGTCGCTTGCCGGGTGTAATGGAGGTAATCCGACCTCGTTGAGAGAATATTTAACGGTCGTCCCCCCTAGATCGTGCGCACGCACGAACGACGCCGTACCACTTTCCCGTCGCATCCTAGTATCGTTGTTATGCAATGTTACGACGCCACTTTGGTACTGTTTCAATAGCCGAGACTACCACAAAGCGGTCGTCCTCGTATCGTTGATAGGCACTTTTCTCTCGAACGCGCGACCGAACTCGCGGATTGTCTTTTACAAACGGGCAGACAACGAACGCGTCGGTCGATTACTCATGACTTTGCAAAATCGTCGTTGTTTAAGTATAACAAACATTCACACGCGCGAAAAATACTTTTCATCTCGGTGTATCGACAAGAAGCGTATTGTCATAAAAATAAATGCTCTCGTGATCCAAATCTTCTATCATTGTGATCGGGAAATAAAAAACAAGACAATGAAATTGTATCAGGGAAAATAAAATCGCATATTGCAATTCAACATTTTTAAACTCGTGTAAATCAATTAATATGGAAGTTATACACTTGTACGTATAGTTCCTAGCATTACAATTAGATTCTTCACGACGCAGTCTTCTGTACGCATTCACCTACGGTGAAAACCGAAATATCACGAGACTTTCAGCCGCTTAGATAGCACGCTAATATCTCACAGAGAACGGAAATATTTGAAAGTTCTTGCCGACGCGACAACACTGTTGCCGCATTCTCTTCGTCGGCGTTTCTTTTCGCGCAAGTACTTGGCTGTATCCGCTATCTGCGCCGGAAGCGGAAGCGGTCCGTACAGACCACCCGGTATGTGTAACCATTTTTCTCTCTCTTTCTCTCTCGCTCTCTCTCTCTCTCTCCCTCTTTTTCTCTCTTCTGCCTGCGCGCACAATCCGTGGCATCCCGACATCGAGCGGCGGCGCGACTCCCTCGTGAATTTTTTTAATCCGCTTCGCTGGTCGCGCCGTGTCGCGTTGTTTTCTCCCCTCGGCATTGCGCCGCGGCGGCGGCAACGTTCGCGTTCGTTTAAAATGCAAACTCGCTCGCGGTCCGCGGGGGCTTTAAAACAGCCGCTATACCCCGGATTTCGTTTGCGCCGCTCGCGCCGCAAAACTTGGCCCCGCCAAGTCTCACACGCGCCTCGTAGGGATTTATGTCGGCGCTGACGCGTTTCTATTCTGGACCGCCTCGTCGCATCGAGACGCATCTCCTCAACGCGTTCTTTCACCGCCGGTATTGCCTCCGTGCTATCTGATTTTACGATAGATCGCTTGATTATAAAAACCGACTATAGTTTTATAACGTTTATGCGATTTGTACGTGAAGTTATCAGAATTGTAAATCGTTAAAAAAATTGGAAATTTAAAATTTAAATAACAGATGTTTTGAAAGAGAGGCCACATTATTTTCCTTCAAAATTCGATTTTTTTTTTAATATATCTTAGATCTGCATTTTACGCCAACGTTGTGCCTCTTCTACTTATTGTACTTTCTAGTAATCGCTGTTATTAGAACGATTTTATTCCGTACTACTATTCGATTATCGCGCCACGATCTTGAACAAGAATTCGAAATTGAACGGTTCCATTTAAGCGTTAAACGTCAGAGATAAATGCGGTTATCTCTTCGTCTTTATCTCGGAAAGGACATTTGCGGAACTGAGATCGATCTCTAGCTTTCCTGATAATTTGACAGGATCTATATAGTCAGTTCTAGGTTCCTTTGATCGAGAGGATGTTGATTCAATGAGTACTGATGCATTAGACGATCGTCCAATCATTGACGCAGATATATACCATGAGTAAAGGCAGGTCGAGATGCTTAATTAGCTCGGTCGTGTAACTTGGAGCGGCACTGAGGGCACAGCTCGGATAAAGGGCTAAATTTATCCTCGATAGTCCTTTGAGCCTCTCCGGTTAGACATCTATCGTGTGCGCGTACGCACTTCCGCATTTCAACCCTCTGATGCACTATCCAATGTCTGTTGCATCTAAAATTTTTATACTCATAATAATTGGAATAATTTCAGCATTATATTTATTGAACTATCGTATTTGTTGTAATTTTCCAAAACTGTAATAAGAACATTACAATTCATGGAACATACATCTCTCTGTTCGAAAGTAAAGGATTAATAATATAACGTTCTAAATAATCTGTGATGTTTTTGTTGTACTAATCACGGATCGTTGGAATCGTTAATTACGTCTAAAAACTTGTTGAAAAAAGAATTTTGCACGAGCGTTAATTACTAAAGATCGGAGATGAGCGCAATGATTTTTTTCCCGAAGAATTACCAGCTTGCGAATATGGTCAGTTGGGTGTCGCTATTGTTATCCCGCTTGACCACAGCCACTTAGCCCGAGCACTAAACTCCACGAGTTCAACTTCCACCCTTCAACAGGTGTTTAGGGAAATACAATAATGTCGCGCATGCGCGCCGAACTTCTTGAGGTCGCAAAGTTCGCCGGAACAATCTGACCGCGACCATGCCCGCGGGCGATGCCGGTACTTAGGAAGAGATTAATTAAGATTACGCAGAACGCGGCGGTTCTCAACCGCCCGGATCACGTTAACAGGAACAAGTAAATTTTGTGAGATTGACGAGAAATTTTGTTAATGCGTTTAAGATGGGAAGAGATTGGACTATGATTATAAAGATACGTTTCTCGCGTTGCAAGATAAATTGTGAGATCTACCAATCTTATTCAACCAAGATCTTAATGGCATAAATTTTGATTAAAAACAAATATGCTACTGTATGATAGATATCAAAATTGTATACGTTTAATAATTTTTTAACTTATGTACTTTGTTATTAAAAAAGTAAAGTTTTATCAAATAAATTTTTATTCTGTCTTTGCAATTACTTAGATAATTAATAATATAAACACTTATCTGCACGAAACATATTGATAAAAAATAGACAAAATAATATGAGATTATTATATGTGTGTATACATTTTTTAATAGATTAAATAAATTGCTTAATTAAGATCCCAAATAAATAGAAATAAAAAACTTATGTAAGTTTTTAGAATGTGTTTGTTTAAAAAAGTATTTGCAAAAATCTGCTTTACCGATAGTAGATATTACTAATATCGTAGAAGTCTGACATACCAGTAGTCGATAAAGTGGACTGTCAGACTTGGAGTCGGTAACGGATAGGAGAGAGAACTGAACACGTTTTCCGACTGCGAAAGGGGTATAAAGTTATCTTTCATATACCAGATGGCGTATAAACGTAATAAATTTATGCGCAAGAAAACTCGTTGAAGAGTAATATGTGCATTCATAAAATTGAATTTTTTGAAGATGCTCAAGTTATATGTAATTTGTTGTAAAGATTAGAAAACAACAAAATTGATTAAAATAGAAAATCTTGTATGTGTGTTATTTTTTATTTTAACTGATAACTTGTTGTCTTCTAATTGTATAAATTAATTTTTTTATATTTAAGAAATAAAAAGTAAACATGATTTTTTATAATTTCTATATTATTTTATTTACAGATGTTAAGCGGCGCTGAAGGCACCGTTCCATCCGGGAAAGTATACAAGAAAGTCGCGATTGTGGAGAATTTCTTTGACATCATTCATGCCGTTCACGTTGATCTCGAAGGACGTCCTGGAAAACACGCCGGCCAGAAACGGACTTACAGGACGGTAAGTTATAATAGCAACTTTGTTATTATTTATTGGAATTAAAAATATAAAACTGAAACTATGAAATTTTGATATATTTGTGTCTTTACACAAACAATACGATCTATCGCATATAAGACACGGCGCTAAGTCAAAGTATCCGCCGATTCAGGAACAATCGAATTCCGAATTCGGGTGCTATCGGCGGTACGCGATGAATTCTTGCATGGTTGCCCGCGACATGCGATATTTACCGTTCCCGAGGGAAAGCATCGAGGCGTTCAAGCGTCGAACACTCGATACCACACGTCATCTCACATGTTCCGGCGCGCATTCGCGTAAACCTCTCTCCGGGGTATCATATCTATTCTCTTGCTCTCTCTCTCTCTCTCTCTCACTCTCTCTCTCTCTCTCTCTCTCTCTCTCTCTCTTCCTCTCTTCTCTTCTGACCTTCTCTATCTCATACTCTCGGTACGCGGTCTCTTTCTATTCTCCATCGTCAGCCCCTACAACCATCCTCCCACTCTTCTCGTCCTCTCATCCTCTCTATTCTCTCTCTCTCTTTCTCTTTCTCTCATCTCTTTCGCTCTCTTGCTTTCTCTTTCTCGCATGCCGCGATCTGCTTGTGATTCAAAACCTCAGGACACTTGTTGCATTGCCTGCTTACTCACACACTCGACCGTTCGCGCGACGGTGGAACTGTTTTACGTTCAAGTCGGCGTGTTAGGTGGCGGGATTCATCGGCTCCAGAGGAGCCCGCGTTATGTCACGATGCGCGTTGCGCAACTCGATATCCACCATTCGTCGCCGCCGCTGCGCCGAGAGTGGTGGATTTCATGTTGCTGCTATTACATCGTAAGGGTTGCGAGCTGACCAACCTGTGTATATGTACATACAGTGGCGCAACCTCACCTTTGACAGTTTGTGCCTTCAACGCGCGTGCAATCCGCGCACTCATTACTATGTGTACCTTTCGCTGCTCGAACTTAGAAATCAATTTCCGCGTAACTAATGCGTAAGATTACGAAACTCTCATTTCTCTAACCATGACATGAGTATAAATTAGAAATTATTTGCATAATGATACTAAATTATTTACTGTGAAATTTGCTCAGTTTCGATTTTCTTATCAGAAAAAATGTAAATAATCACAATCGATTCTCTCGATATTGATTGTTGCCACTTTTATCTCGACGCTGATTTGACATTTCTAGGATGTGTTTCTCGATTCATGTCGTACGTGTCAAGAGACACTCGTGCTTTTTATACACAAAATTCATGCGATCGAAAAATGAAGAAATTTTCTGTAGAAATACTGATAATAGATAAATAGTGAGGACAGAAAAAAGCATTCTTATTTTGATTTTTTAGATTATTTCTTCTTTTGTTCTACAAAGTTGCCACGAAGTCTCCGGCAAATCTTATCGAATTACTACCCTCGTAGAATCCCGTACATTTATACGCGCACGTACATATCAACCTCTGTCGGCTCTCGCGAAGACTGCCATCTTCCTTGATTAAGTTATACCGCCCTCTCCACCTCCTCAGAGAGAAACGTTTCCTATTAAGAGAGAGGCGGGAAACATCCCTCCGGTTGAACACCTTCTCTCGCAGAAGACATCAAAGTTCCGTTATACCGCTCATGAATTTTCCCCAGTGGGCGTTGCGCGTAAAACGCCGCCACGTGACAAGCGATACGTTCGCGAAGATGAAAGCTCGAGAAAGGCCATTCGCGCTCGCATTACCGTCGTCGATTGACAATGGCAGTCGTGTTATTACGTGTACGGCGACTCAAACCAATTTTATTCGAATCGGTTGAAATTGATGTTCCGAAAATATACATACATTAAATACACATTGAATTTCACATTTTTTTTTTATAATAAAATTGATTCGTATTCTACACTATCTTTTAACATCAAACGGAAGAATTTATGTATTTACGCGGAAATATCTTAAAGGACAAATAGTCTCCGAGAACTCCGAACTGTTTCTGAAGAATGTGTGTTCGCTCTCTCTGTTGCAGATTACAGAGACGTACGCATTCCTACCCCGAGAAGCGGTAACGCGATTTCTGCTCGGCTGCACGGAATGTCAGCGAAGTCCGCGGACGCCCAGTCCAACGAACTTATCTAATCAGCCGCAATCAACACAACTGAGCCCCAATCCAGCTGGTAGCGCCCATCTAGCTGCGTCATCATCGCTGGTGCCTGCTAGTTCCAAGACACGAGACAGCAGCCATCATTCAACGTCGGAGAGCAAGAATGCGCATAATTATAGGCACCAGAAGCATCAAAAGAACGCCACGAACGCGACGAACAAATTTGACAGGGATAAGGACGAGAAGTACAATCCGCTGAGCATCACGAATCTGTTGAAGAAAGATTCGGTAAACAGTGGTTTTCTCGCGAGTTCAGACGCACTGCCGATTCGAGATATAAGAAGAACACCCGACTCGGATCGAAGTTCGAAGAGTTCAGCGTCGTCGAAAAGAAAGCGAATGCTGCAGCGGACACCCTCGCCTCAGTCGGTACCGCTATCAACACCATGGAATCCCGGTCTAGATCCCAAGAAAACGGCTATCGATTACAGCCTTCCCATAACAACTTCATATTTGAAGCATCAGCAGAGACTCCAGGAACAGGAGGAAGAAAAGAGGCAGATCGTCAGCGCGTCGCAAACGATGTCCCAGATGGTGCCCAAAACGGAGATCAAGACCGAACCGTCGACGGCGAGCGAATCAACCCTCGCCGAAGAAACCGAAACCAATGAGAACGACAGGTTCTCCCCGGCTACAGGTCTGATCGATACAAACCTTAATTTACTGGCAACTATTCAGCAGCTGCATTGCCAAGTGATGCTTGCGCTCACTGAGCGTTTAAGACCATCGATCACCATGCCGAGTCCTTTGGTGCTGCCACCAGCACCCACAAATATCGCACTCGCGAATATGATGGGCACGGAAGTGTCGGTCCAGACGGGAGAGAATTCTTCGTGAGGAAACAAAGAGGAAGAAAAGGAGAACGTATTAATTTGGTAGCTTTTTTTTTAGAACTGTTTGAAAGACACTTCTAATACGATTGTGTGTGATGAAGGTGACAAATTAGTATCTCTGACAAATTAGTATCTCTAGAGTCGTTTTTTGTCTTAGCAGTTGGACTGAGCGTACAATTCAGGTACGTCAATTTCAATTAATCATCTAACGATTGTTAAGGTATCTCGCGAAAGTCACACAACGGAAATCGGACTTTTTAAAACAGACAGCGAAATTCGACCATTTTGTGTACATCTCCAACGTCACATCCGACAAATCATTCATTGATTCTTGCATTTAACAAGATGAAATTTCCATTTCTAAAAACGGACAAAAACAATTAATTCTTTCGTTCACTTAATTGATATACAGATTAATCGGTTTTTATACGTGCATAAACAAATAGAAATAATCGGTGAGCGAAATATAATCATGAGAAAACGCACAGATACTATTAATGTGCATTTGGGTGACAAAACGTCGATCTCGCGGTCTTTATCTTTAATCCGTTTCTGAGTATGTATTTTGATGACTGACGTGCGTACGCAAATAGCAATGGCGACTCGACTTCGTCTTCCATCAGCGAAACGATAGATGGACGCAATTACATATTGAACCGGACGGGATCGATTATTGTCGTCGTGCTCGTTGTCACACATTTCATTCTACCGGGCCGGCAGCCGGCTGCTTGCTTGCTTGCCCGCATCCGACGTCGGCCCGATATAGATGACGGGCCAAGCGAGCGGAATAATTCCCGAGTCTGTCGAAATACGGGTCGATGTGTCAGGGATTCGCACGGCGCTTCCTATGTTCGATATTTAGGGATCCGTTACGCGGAGAGAGTTAGGTCGCGATCCGATCGCCGCGCCGGACTCGACGGCAATATATCGATCCATTCAAGCGGAGTCAGAAGCGAACCAGTCCGCGCGGCGACACCGCAAAGGTCTTGAATATTCAACGAACCAGCGAGACGGGCGTAGAGAAAGAGAAAGAGAGAGAGAGAGAGAGAGAAAGAAAAAGAGGGTCGTATTCTCGTTTGCGGGTGTCCGATGAATTCGACAACATTCGGCGTCGTTGTCGACCTGACGAATTATCTTTCATGTTTTAAGGCGTCCGACGCGACTAAATGTAAACGTGTTCCAGAATTTGCTGATAATAATTTACACTAACGATAAAGTATTTTAATTTTGCATCTATTCGAAGAAATTAATATTTAGTCTGCGGAAAAGATCATGTTTGTCGAGAAGGTAAAAAATGAATCTCGGTTTCTATTTGTGCGATATGATGTTTTCGTAGTCTCCGATGGTCTGGATTAACATCAATTAATACGCGGTCGAGTAACGTCTCATTGATGGGAAAAGGACCGGCTGCATCTAACCAGCGTCCTCGCCCTATCTTATAATGGTAATAATGTTATCACGTGTAATTAGACACAATGAGGGTACACGTCTCGATCCTAAGCGTGCGCGATTCGTCTCGTCTCGTTGCGTTTCGCGGAACCGGTCGATCCGGTATTATCCGAGATCAGCTTCTCTTGTTACATTGTATTAATTATCGCATTATTGGCGCGATCGGCGCTGCGACTTTTTGGCGATACCGCGGCGCGACCGCGTAATTGAGCACGTTATTTCAGCCAGGGGAGATTAAACCTTTATTTTATCAATCTTAAATTTCAACGGCGAAATTTATATAAGCGCTGCTATTATATTAGTAATATTTTTTTAAATTGATTTTAAATAAAAAAAAAAAACCTTCGTTTTCTAATTTTCTGTCGTCTCTTATGAACGTGCGCGATATATACTGACATTTTAATGTATTCAAAAAAGCTTTTACTTGAAAATTAAAATAAACATGATTCTGTTTTTTTTTTATTTTTTTTTTTATTTTAATTTTACTTCTTTATTTTAATTTTACGGGTATTATACGACTGAGACAGATTCTCGGATGCCTTTGCGAAATAACTTGTTCAGTGCCAGACTCGATTGTATACCAAAGGCGGTATCAACTCCGAGCTCTCTCAGTTTCGAGAGCGACCCGTCTTTATAGAGCTGTAGATAAGACGATTCGATCGCAATTAATAAATCGATTGTGTGTCCTTCTCCTCCCTCTGATATCGGGACCTCGACGACGGTCCTCGGGAGGCGAAACCCGTTTCGTCCTGATTGTGTACGTAGTCTAGCGTTCTGTATATTACTCAAAGTAGCTCGTCTTTCGTGTACGATATAGAGTGTCGTTAGCGCTGTGTGGTGTGTGTGCAGGAGAAAAGAATATACCGCTAACGCAATAGGCCTTAAGATGTGCTTGACAAAACCAGTCTGTACAGTAGAGTGCATCATATCGTTCCGCGTCAAGGAAAGTAGTTCTCTTCCGACTGCCTCCTACTACCGCGCGCCGTTTTTCTTCGGTCTCCGCCAGCGGCAATTCGATCCATATGCAGTTCTATATGCGCGAGCAATAGTTCTAAAGTTTCCGATAAGTTTTAGATCGATTTGCGGCTTTTTACAAAACACTTGCTTTTCGACTTTGAAATTTTGAAAGCTAGCACAGCATTTTTAAAAAAATTACAATTCTAACAACTAATCTAATTGCATCAGTATTGTCGATCGCGCCAGTATATAGATCGGATCTCGAGCGGAGACCGGAAGAGAACAGAGCGCGATAGGAGGCGGCCGGAGGAGAATTACTTCCCCTCACGCGGAACGATATGGTGCACTCTACTGTACTAGAAGTTCGATAATCGTCGTGAAAGTAGACGAGGGTTGATAACCCTCAAGAGTTGTCGCACCGCATATACATACATGCATATATATCTAATGTATTTATATGCATGTATATATAATTTTGTATATAATCGTTGTATCATAGTACCAATACCTGTTCCGAAAAGAAGCGCGCCGCTATATTTCTGATAGCGATTTTTTTCTTACGACATTATTATTATTATTATATACAACGATCATAAGTAACTACTATTTTTATCGTTTTTTTTTTTTTTCATTCTCTTATCATAATTATTATAATTAGTAGATATTATTCTATTATGTGAATATTACATTACGATATTGTAGGAATATTATTTATATTATAATTGCGCACCAGAGTCAGACAGGAAAATAAAATTGAATTACTCGAGAATTGCAATATTCCAATTCACATCCCATCCAACCATATGTGATTGTTCCTTTTCTTTATGTGTGTCATGTTTTTAACTTAACCTTATCATTTACAATCATAATCGTTAGTAATTACTTAATTGATGCATTTTTTTTTTCTAAAGAATAATTAAAAGAATTGACAACTGTTTTACTCTCGACAATATTATCTGATCATATCACGATATGTTATCATGTACGGTTAAGTCATTAAATATATATATATATATATATATATATATATATATAATATTTGTATATATATAGAAGAAATATATTGTGTATATAAATATATATATATATACATATTTTATATTGTACGTGTAACAAAAAAAGGACCTACACATCAAACACGGAAAGTTCAAGTATATTTCAACAAGCGGCTATCTTATAAGCGTAAGTATTATTATAAATTTATGTACACAAGCGCCACTCAAAGTGTTCGCGAAAAAGTTTGATCGATCGATGAAGGTACATTGAGGAAGAACGGTCGGTTTTGCACTTCATGCAGGAACAACGAACGCAATTGACACCTCACCCTTTCTCCCACCCTCTGCTTTACTCCCGGTAGATAGAAGCAGTCGCTTCGGCGTCTGACGTACTTTAATATCGCGAACAAAGAGGACGAAATGATCGTGTTGCCTTTAACAAAGGAGAGAGGCGGCAGCGCCCGTCGTCTCACGACGACTCACCTGCTCTCTCGCCGTAGAGCGAGGATCGTTTCTCTGCGAAGAGGTACCATAGGTAATGCAGTCTTTACTCATCCGGCTGTTGCCAGCGTTGTAGCGACCTCGTTCCATCAACTTCTACGTTCCCCCCAGCTAGCTATCTTCTTCGTTTCCTCTTTCCCTCTTCTCTATTTGATGCCTCTCTCCCTCTCTGTCGTTCTCTCGCCCTCGCCTTCAGCCCTCAGGAAAACTCAACCTCCTACTCCCGGTTCCAATAAGGCTGCCGCCTCCACCTCGTTTCCACCTCCTGGTCTAGCTGGATACTCTCTCTCTTTCTCTCTCTCTCTTTCCCTCCCCTTTTCTCTCTCTCTCTCTCTCTCTTTCTCTGCTTTTCCCTCTGCTTCCCTCACGTGCTTACTTCCCTGACTACGTTCCCCTTTTCTTCGCTGTCTCTTTCTCACTATTTCTCTCTCTCTCTCTTCTCTTTCTCTTTTCCCCTCTCTGCCACGTTCCCTCAAGCAACCCTCCGACGTACCCTAAAGCCCGGCTTCTACCAAAGAGCCAAGCCTCTCTCGCGCTCTCTTCGCCATGGCATTGTTGCTATCGATTTGGACTTGGAAACGTGTTTTTCTTCGGATATTTCGTGGCTACCGCCGGTTACGACCGCCGTCGCTCGACCGGATAACGAGGATTCTAGGAAGGCGGTGTGTGTCCAACCCTCGTTTCAGCCTTTTTCCACGTCTCTTTCTCGGTCTCTCTGAGTTTCTGCGTTACCACCTCTATACCATTATGTTTCTCGTGTTTAAATGCGCCTTTTGCGCTCTCGCGATAAATATTTGGTTTTACGCGCAAATTTTCATACGTTCACTCCTTTGCTTCCGTTTATGTTGCTTTACTTTTCTCGGAACTCGTTTGTTTCACTATTGTACTTAAGCACTTATGCAATATATTTGCATTAAAATTAATCCTATAATCGCGATGTGTTTAAGCAGTGTAATATTTTTTTTTCGCTTTTTGTTAAACTGCTTTTTGTATTTTTTATTTGTTATTTATGTTATTTTTGTAATGTGCTTCGAATATTAAAATTACAAACGTACGGGAAATACATGCATATATATATATCAAAAAAATATCGCGATTAATTCGAATTGCGCAGTAAATTGTTTTGGCGTCGCATTGCAAATTGCTTGTTTTACTTCATCGATTTTCGGTTATTTTGCTCCCGGTGTCCGTCTCTATATTGAAGCATGAGTCGCGATCTGACAACTCGATACGGATAAGTCGCCGGCGGAGTTTGACGCGATGAGAAACTCCCATTAGACTCGATGGCCGTAAGCTGCGTTCCGTCAGAGATAGACTCGAACCACTTTCGTCGTCTTTGTCACGCCGAGATGTTCGCCGACTTGGCTTCGATTGTTCCGCAAAGACCATTGAGGCACCCGGTGCCACTTTACGAAGCTGACACGTCGCAGCAAATAGACAACCAGAACGCCCGACATCGCGAAGTAAGGAAATCGCGCGAGAGATTTCAACGAACGTTACGATATTTAGCTGCACGTTCTCTGTAATGCTTACTGCGCTCGTGTACGATATTAGATACTTGAACTTTTTCAGAACAAGTTTATTTCAACTATTTTTACAAGCATTTACACTTCGACACTTAATTTTATTTTGTTTAAACAAAAAGTCTGATTATTGCGTTTGCAATTTAGTTAAGAAAAACACGTAGATATTTTCCTTAATCTTAAAAAACACATCTATAAAGTTGTCGCATTTGTTGCTGCGCACGTTAGAAAGTCGCTATTTCTGAGTAAAAAGAAAAACTATGTGTACGATTTATTTGATTATTTTTCTACACACATAAGTGTGTATAAATATTGTTCAGTTTTATATATAAGAAAACCCAAAAAATAAGATTGTCGAAGCGTCAAAGACATGTGCACGTGTTATTATTTTTATTTCAAAATTTTTACATACTACTTTATATTTGCGAATTTGATCAGTTTGACACTCTGTGTGTGGCGACGCACAGATTGATATAGAGCGACATCGAAGCGCGTCGGAGACTTCAACGATCGACCATACTTTCGTCGGTAGGTATGTATATGCAATTCGCCGATGCGTCGCGAGAAGAGCGCGCCATTGTCTCGCAATTTATTCGCCGTTCATTGCCGTAACTCTCGTTTTCGATGGGGTCGGTCGATTAAGGCGCGGTCCCCTGCGGTTCGCAGGGGCGACATTACCGGGGGTTTAACTCGAATCGAACGGCGATTTAACATTTCACCCTCACCTAGGTTCGCGCGACGTATGTGACGTCCATTGTCCTTCGGGGATTCCGATAAAAAATAAAAAGAGGGAAAAAAGGTTTTCATGGACGTGTCGCGACAGGAATCGGAAGAAATCTGCGAACGACGTGATTTGAAATCGATTACACGTGAAAAGGTAAGTGACGGCATTTCATCCCATCACAGTTCTGCAACACAGGGCTAAATATTGATTGATAATCTTGTGATTAATAGAGAAAAAGACACGTGGCAATTATTTTTTAGCTTCGGACTTCTCGTCTTTCAGAGAGTATTATGATAGTGTTTTCGAGAATTTGCGAAGAAACACCTCGCGGATTGTATCAATATCGATTGCAACTGTGTCGAACAAACAAAACTATATTGTACGGCCGTTTGCGAGCTTAGAGAGTCGAACTTCCGTGCGACTCTTCTCCATTCGCAACTTTAGCACGCGATAATTTAACAAACGATGCTCGAAATTGAAGCAAATATATACTGTAACTTTTTGCGTTATAACTCGATAGCAAAGTTCCAGTTGTTGATATAATGATAGAAGCGTTTTGTAGATTTAAGTCACAGAGTTCTTTTGCAGAACATTTTTCACGGAAAAACACGCGTAACATCAAGAAGATTGCGCCACACGTAAGAGATCGTATAACATTTAATTAAATCGAAGTGAAAACCGATATAATGATTACTAGATTATATTCGTCGCAAAATCCTTATTTTTATGACATTTTTTATCAAGATAAATTATAATATACAAGTGTTAAACAACCGTAGAATAAGCTCTCACAAGGCTCGATTTTTCGTGAAATCCGAAATTCGGCGGAGATATCACGTACCCCACGATTTACGAAGGGCGAAAAGCGCGAAGGGTGAAAATGGGGGAGAGAGAAGACTCGGATGACTCGTCAGCGCCACTGTTAGCTATTGCAATTCGTATCGCGAGTCGTGCGGGAAGATCTCTTATTTTCTCGTTGTATCCGACGAAACCCACCTATATCCCGGAGCGTCTACCCTCGTTCCGAGTCACTATCCCCGCGCGCCCCCTCGCAGCAGCGGCAGCAGCCGCCAGTCCTCTTCGTGTTCTCTCGACGTCCGACTCTGGCGGCTCTATCCTCTACGGAAGAGTAGGATGAGAACGAGGAGGATAGCACGCCGAGCTCTAGAATGTAAGGGATGATTTTGGAGATAGCTCGAGGGTCGCTCCGGTACGTAGGAGTTGTAGGTTGGCGGACGGGAAGGCGCGCGCGGGGACAGGGGCGAGGACGGGTCGGGTCGAGACGAGTGGTGTAGAGGAGAGAGCTGCCACGGTTAGAGAGAACGGAGAGAAGGTAGAGGGCGAGGGTGAGAAGGAGAGGTCGGAGAGAGGATACCGGGGAGAGAGTAGAGGGTGTGGGTTTGCGAAACGGGGACTGCGATTGGGATGCTTCGCGCGCGCGGAGGCAGGGGAAGGTTTGGTTGAAGCTTTGGGGAAGAGCGCGGGGCGCGGTGAAGGGTTGGAGGTGAGTCTGCGGAGTCTCAGGAGGGTGAGTTTGGCGCCGAGGTGTCGGCCTTTCTCTCCAGTGCTGCACGTGTGTATGTGTGAGTGTGTGGCCTCTGTACGTATGTGTGAGTGAGCGCACGTGTAGATGTTCATAGTTTTACGGCGCTTATGTTTAAATTTGAATAAATGACCTACAGTTGCAATAGACGTTGCGTTACGCAACGACACTGATCCCGGTGATCGCTTGCGGTTCGCGTAATTGGCATTCGCGAATGGCAATGAGTGGATCGATAGCGAGTGATATCGACCGATTGGGACCAATGAGCGCGATGTAGGTTATGGGATATAGCAGGCAGACGTGCACATGTCGAGCATGGCGGGTAGATACAGTGAAACAGTTTATTGGGATTTAAGGAGATCAACCTGAGAAATCTATTTCACATCTTTCCTTTGTTTGATCTTTC